ACAGAAGGAATCTTTTCCCAGTCCGGAGAATCTTTTCTTCAGTTAGAACAGTCAGATCTTTCCTTCAGTTAGAACAGAATCAGAATCTTTCCTCCAATAGAACAGTCGGAGATATCTCCTCCAGTTAGAACAGAATAGGGAATCTTTCTCTCAGTTAGAAAGTTGAGAATTTTCCTTCATTAGAAGCAGTAAGAAGGATATCTTTCTTCAGTTAGAGAAAAGAATCATAAAATATTCCTCCAGTCAGAAAGAATCAGAGAAAACAAGAAAAGATTAGAGAATCTTTCTCCATTTAGAACAGATCTTTCCCAGTCAGAGAGAATGGGAAAATTTAAACTTTTTTGCTACTTTCACCGCCCAATCTGCTGCTCTCAGTCCACGTTCTTTTCCACCGCGTGGGTGTGAGAAAATACGAATCGATTTCGTTATCGGAAAAAGATACGACTATAATTATATCGTTCACCTAATGATAACAACCAAACGAGTGCGGGTTTATCTCAGTCCCTTCCTGGATCGTTAGAAATTGCTTATTAACGAGCTAATGGAATTGCCTATTAACCCAGGCCAGATAGAGTTGTAGAAGGAGAGTAACATATCGGGGAAGGGGAGGGGGGTGGAGAAAGGGAGGGGGTGGGTTTAGTACCTTTTGTGAAGTTCATTAAGGAATATTAGCATATCGGAGGGGGAGAGGTTAAGGCCCAGGGGGTTTGTGGGGGGGGGGCGGAGGTTAGTGTCGTTAAGGTCAGTTCAGCAAGGAATAGACACGAAATCGTAGTCAGTAAGAATGAAGTTGATAAATCAGTGATATGTTTTTGTTATTTTTTCTCTGCCTTTGTGGTAGTTACTTTTCCAATTGTTGACTTCTCCCGAATAACATTAGGAAATTCGGAAAAGGATATTAGGAAACAATATATCGTTGAGGAAATAAAGAATATATGTTAATGCACCACCAATTGTGTGATGGTAGTGAGGATGCCAAAATGACAGTGATATTGATAATAATATTAAGGATAATAGTAATTGAACAATGAAATAATTAGAGATTAATAAAAACAATAATGGTAATGATCACGATGATAGTGACAAAAAAAAACGGTAATAATGAGTGATGATATGATGATCTATAATAATGAATGATGTTGAAAATAATTTATAATATTCAGTATAATAACAGTAATGATAATATTCAACAAAATAACAGTTGTGGTAATATTCATATGATAGCAGTAATAACATTCAACATAATAACAGTAATGGTAATACTCAATATAATAACGACAATGATGAACTCATACCAATGGTTATGTGGTCGTCAACGGAGAGAAAGAGAAGGAACGAATCTCATGTCATGTTGCTGGCCAGTCGACTAAGGGCTGAGGAAGAAGCCATGCAACGTTGCTTTTGCATTGCTCTCCTTCCCCGCTTCTCTGTCTTCTCTCTGCCAGCCTCTCTCTCTCTCTATGTATATTTCCTTTTTTATCTCATTTTCATTATCTTTCTCCTTCTCTTTTTTTTTTTGTTTGTTTGTTGTTTGTTTTGTGTTCGTATCTCTGTCTGTCTGTCTGTCTTTCTCTATCTTTGTCTCTCTCTCTCTCTCTCTCTCTCTCTCTCTCTCTCTCTCTCTCTCTCTCTCTCTCTCTCTCTCTCTCTCTCTCTCTCCTGTTAGTCCTGACTCCTGCACTTACGTTTTTTTCTCCTTTCCCCCCACACTTTTATTTCCTTATTGCAATACCCTTTCCTTTATCCTATTATCTTTTTTTCTTGTTCCTCGTTTTCTCTTCCTTCCTTCTCTTTCTCCCCTCTCTGTACCCTTTTCCTTTTTGTCTTTAACGTACAAAAGGACACTTCACTGGGCTGAAATATTTGATATATAATATATATATTATATATACTATGTGTGTGTGTGTGTGTGTGTGTGTGTGTGTGTGTGTGTGTGTGTGTGTGTGTGTGTGTGTGTGTGTGTGTGTGTGTGTGTGTGTGTGTGAGTGTGTGTGTGTGTGTGTGTGTGTGTGTGTGCGTGCGTGCGTGCGTGCGGCGCGCCAGTTTTTTCCTTTACAAACATATCATCCAGTGATACTAAACAGGACACATGTCAGTCACAACTCTTTTTAATTCTCTTACTACGGTTAATTAATCTTTATCTGTCCTTTGACCTTAGTTGGATTAACAAATGAATGAATCATGAAATTTTCCGGTTTGCTGCAGCGCTGAAATATTGCACGCCGCAACGCCCCACCCCAGCTCTGGCTTTAATCTTGTTCCATCGCGTCTCTTTTCCACACTCTCCTTACCGTGGACTCTGCAACCTCTGTGCAATCTGCAACTACGAAGTCTTCAGTCATTCAGCGAAAACTTTTTTTCCTTTTTCTCTCTTTAAGTGACGTGTTCGCAACGTTTCATTCTGCCAAAGACGTTTAATCATTCTGAAAAAAATAAACTTTTCGCTCAAGGTGTCCTCTCTAAACCCAACGAACTTTCCATCCACTTCCCTTCCACCTTATCCACTTATTAACCTCTATTCCACCTCCCAGTCACGCCCTCTGTTCACCGTTCAATTCGCCAAAAGATCTTAATCATTCGACGAAATTTTTCTCTCAATTGACGGACTTTCCACTGACCTTATTTTTCCTTTTTTTCGTGGAATAAGCGTTTCCCAAAGAAATCATTGCCTTTTCTTTGTGACAAATATAAAAAAGGGTTGTGAGAACGATTCACGGTATCGTAGCATTGTTCATTTTCATTCGTTATTTTCCTAAAGTTGTCCTTTTTTCGTGTGTCTTCCGCATTTTATTATTATTATTATTGCTATTAAAGTTGATGAAAGCGCACCTATTTTCCCACACCCATATGGTACCTTCAGCGATTCATGGAATTCAAAAAATAACGGAAAACTGAACTGCATCAGCATAGCCCCCCCCCTCTAGCCTTTCCGAACGTGCGGTTTGGCTGTTCGTTGTCTTTCATTCAATTTTCACCCTTGTGAGCATTTCGCTTAAAGGCGAAGAGTTTTATTCCAAACTGTAACGTTGATATGAAAAAAGAACGTGCGCTAAGTTGCCATAGGCTTTTTTTCATTCTTCTGAAACGTATCACTTTTTCTTTTTCTTTTTTTTGAGGTGGGGGTCATCTTTTTGACGACAGTAATTGCAAGTAAAAATAGTTTTAAAAACCGGGCCCTGTATTCTAAAATGATATATATATCAGCACAGAATCAATACATCAATAAAAATACAGCTGCGGGTTATAAAACTTTACACCAGCATTCATAAATGTCCTTCATACCAGTGATAATTACAGCGGTTGTGCGAATTTAACATTTCCGAGTCCGAATTTCCACGGTTATTCTTGCAATCTGTATTCAAACTACTTGCGTATTGGTTATTGGCTACACATGACAGCCGGTGTCATTGCAAAGGCATTCGGACGGCTATTGGATAGGTCAAGGGATACGTGCGACTGCAATATCAAAATGGCAAAATGGTTACGAGAGGCGCTGAACACGATCCCATCTCGCGCGGTCAGGGGGGGGGGCGGGGGGATAGAAACATACACATGCGTACACATACCAGTAAACACACACACATACAAACACTCATACGCGCGTGCACACATACACAGACACACACGCACACGCACACGGACGCACGCACGCACGCACGCGCAGGCACACACACACACACACACACACACACACACACACACACACACACACACACACGCACACACACGGATATATAAAGATAGCACATGCCGTCGAAACACTTATTTCATTAATCCAGTAATTATTCAATTATTTTGGCAAGACCCACTAATCATGAAGCCCCGGGGCGCGTCACTCACCAAAGAAACAAGTCATGTTCGTGTATCATATCACACGCAAAATTTTAGAAGAGCGGTTAAACGAGCGCGTGGCAGTTGAAAATGGCTTTAAACTTCAAAACATCTGTAAAAAATGACAGAAAACGGATCATCTTGTTCTTTATGCTTCGATGTGAATTAGGGAAGTTTTCTTGGGTTTCAGATGCAAAGGTTCAGGAAACGTGTTACTGTACCATTTTCACTACATTAGTTTACGTTACATAATTCCTTTTGGAAGAGATTTTAAAGTGATATTTATCATCTTCATTTAACTTTTCTATTCATTCGCTAATTGAAATTCTCCTATGTCCTTGTTCTCGTTGTTGTTTCTGTTGTTGTTGCTGTTGTTCTGGGTGTAAATAAGGCATGTGAGACACCACTGCCTTAGATACCAAGTCTTCTTACACGGTTTGCAATACAAAGATAATTCCAATGCTCGATCCCTTCTCATTGCCACAACAAAGAGAATTATCTTATGTTTACATTGGTACTCTACATCGGAGGTATTTTTGTTTGTATCGGTCCTCTAATTACCACCTTGTTTGATCGTTTGTGTTTGGGCAGAGTTGGGTACAGTTGTGGTTGAGTCAGAGATGGATCAAGTGGATGATTTGAAATGCTATTTAGGCCTATAATGACTAAGGCAGTGAAGAAGGTAGGCCGATAATTAAGGCAGTGAAGAAGGTAGGCCTATAATGGCTAAGGCAGTGAAGAAGGTAGGCCTATAATGATTAAGGCAGTGAAGGTAGGCCTATAATGATTAAGGCAGTAGGTAGGCCTACAATGATTAAGGCAGTGAAGAAGGAAGGCCTATAATGATTGAAATGGTTTTCATCATCGCGAAAATGGGAGAATAGGTAAATAAGATAATGATGATGGTAGTGATAATGATCATAATAACAGGTCGTGGTGATAGTAAAAACAATTTTGGTCTAACTTATTTGATAAATCTGACTAGGACTCAATTAATCCAGATTATGTTTAATATTTATTTATCATTTAGAAGGAATGCATGCCACAAAAGACATAAACAGAGACAGCAATATAGACAGATGGAAGAAATATCCGTTATTCTTACTCTTTTTGCTTACCTTTAGATGCCTTCAACCCTGATCTAATTCTACCCTCAATCTTTCCTGCAGTTGACATCATGTTCATGGTTGACATTGTGATCAACTTCCGTACGACTTACGTCAACCACAACGACGAGGTGGTCTCTCATCCGGGGAAGATCGCCCTACACTACCTGAGGGGGTGGTTCCTCATCGATGTCGTGGCTGCAATTCCCTTCGACCTCCTGCTGGTCAACCCGGATGTAAGTCAGCTGTGTTTTGGGGGGAACGTGGAGCGAGTCTGGGGGCGTCTCGCAATTTTGTCTTTTTTCTGGAAGGGGATTAAATTTATTGTCTTTTTTGGGGAGGGGAATTCTTTGTTTAGTCTGGCTTGTGACTTACGGCATCGCGTCAGAATCGATGATGAGATAGTGTGTATTTCATGTTCACAATAAGGGGGTCAGACCCGTACACACAAGACGATATAAAAAAAAACGGCTTCACTTTCAATACGAAACAAGTGTTGGTCAAATATGAAGCATAAGCTTTATATGCAGTTATCTTCAAGTATCTCTTTCTTCCTTTTATTTTACTTTCATAACCATTTCCTGCATCGCTAATGTCAACGCCTTTTTCCGCCGATAATGCTGTAGTCAATTAACAGTCGCAGTTGCCAATTATCCTCTAACTTATTTACTGTTGCTACTGTGGACAAACGCCTCTCACGCTTAATGTCTCTAGATGCCGTTATATCTTAATCAAAACGCAATTATTTATTATATTATCAGTAATTAATATAGCTACTTGTATTCGTTTTATCCGTGTTTGATGATTGTTGACGATTAAGCAAACTTGCGTGTTGCCTAAAACCGGGTTGTGATAATGTCAGTTTCTTCGTCGCGTAGAAACATAGCACTGTGTTGGTCCGTGTGTTCTGTATTTTAATTCTGTTTTAAAATTAGTTTAATGCAGTTCCGCGGGGCAGTTTATTCTAGATTTTTTCCGGTATTTCCTATATATTTCGTACTTTGACAGAGAGATGTAAAAAAAATAATAAGGATAGTAATAAATTTCAGAAATGTGTATAATTTCAGAAATGTGTATATTTTCGGCTCTGGGAAATCCTTTCATTAGATTCTTCATGGTGAATATTTTCCACTTTGCCAGACAATATTTTTTAGTATGTGTGGTATTATTATTCAGATCATTCCAACTTATGAATCTAAAAATCCCATTCATTCCAATAAAATACCAGTATATATGTGAATAGATAATTCTTGAAATATTTCTTTTGCTTGGCATATATATATATATATATATATATATATATATATATATATATATATATATATATATATATATATATATATATATGCTATATATATATGCATATATATATATATAATATATATATATATGTATGTATGTATTATGCATACATACATACACACGCACACACACACACACACACACACACACACACACACACACACACACACACACACACACACACACACACACACACACACACACACACACACACACACACACATATATATATATAATATATATATATATATATATATATATATATATGTATATGTATATGTGTGTATATATATATATATATTATATATATATATATATATATATATATATATTTTATATATGTGTGTATATATATATTATATATGTATGTATGTATATATAAATATATGTAAATATGTATGTATATATACATATATGTATACATGTATGTATACATATATATATATATATATACACACAAACACACGCTCTCAGTCACACACACACACACACACACACACACACACACACACACACACACACACACACACACACACACACACACACACACACACACACACACACACACACACACACACAACAACATGTATATATATATATATATATATATATATATATATATATATATATATATATATATATATATATGCCCCCGTGGATGGATGTGTGTATATATATTGTTTATTCCTCTTTATTAAAAAAAATGATTTTTATGATAATTTTGATTTAATTTTTAAAGGATTTTCAGCCTCAAAATATTTTTGTGTCAAATATTTTACTCAGGATATGACTTTTTCCACCATTTGTCAATGTATCTTGCTCCCCATTTGATCTGTCTACTAACAGTCAACGCCCAATGTTTCTGTTGTCTTAACTCACGTCACATGGAGGTTTTTATTTACCTTTTCCCCTCGCCAGCCAGTTTATAGGCCTACTTTCGAGGGAGGTTTTTAGCTTTTGTTTGGAGTCCCTGGGTGAAGGAGATCTTGTCTTTTTAGATGCTAGAGAAGTTTAAGAAGTTTTTTTTCTTTTTTCGAGCTTCTTCGGTTTCGTAGAGTAAAGGCAGGTTATGGTTAATTGATTGCTTAGACTTTGATGTCATTTATGTTGATACTGTAAATAGTTTTTTAATGAATTTTAATGGTAACGGATTATCATTTGAATAGTTACCAACCAGAACGTTAAATATCAAAGATACTTATTACTGTTCCTTTTTTTGCGGGTTCCCTCTTTAATTCCCTAAACCAAAGTCGCATTTTCCTATAAAAAAAAAAAAAACTCTAGGTTTCTAGGCAAACAGACAAGAGGAAATTTAGTTAGGTCATCCATCGCGACTCCTTAGGGTCAACGTCGTCCTGGGTGTTGGTAGGGTGGGGGGTGAGGGGAGGGGTCTGCCTGGAGGGGAGGGAGGAGGGAGGGGTCCCTTCCCTTCCCCCACCCTTCACCAAAGACAACCCCCCCCCTTCCCTCCCCCTTCACCACCCCAGGTTGTCTCTCTCTTCCCTGACCTCGTGGACTTGGGTCACTCTTGCCAACTTCATGGTCCTTCGAAGGGAGTGATGTCAGTTCGCCTTTTTTATTCTCACGAAAAAAAGGATTGTAGATTCAGTATCTTCACTTCTTTGTTTCTGTCTTCCACCTCTTCTTCTTTTTCTTGAAGTCAACTTGATATCAGATCGGGATCATCAATCTAACTTTTTAAAAATGATTGTGTTATGTTTCTCATTGTTCACCATTAAAGATTTTGAATCGCAACAAAATAGATTTTCCAGTCAAACACCTGGTATTTTTCAAACTTTGGAATAGCACGTTCACTTGTTTTTGACAATGTAAGAACTTGTAGAGAGTAAGGTCAAGGGACGAGCTCTCTTACACTCGTGGTTCTTGGTTCACTCAAGATGGAGGCAGGACGGTATGCCTGGCTGGTTCACTCGGCGTTCCTCGAGGAGAACGGGGTTGTCATGGCGGTTCTGTGGTTTGTCATGCAATACGCAACTATTCGCATGTGTAGATGAAGTGACACCGGGCATAGCCAGGCATAGCTCATGCTCCCATTTCGGAGGAGGGCGACTGTGGGCCTCGAGCTGGCTGTGAAAGAGAGCTCGTTCAGCCTTGTCTCTTAGCCACGCGGGTCTGGAGAGCAGACCCGCAGCGGTTCGATCTTTCGTCCATGTCGGTGGAGGGTCAGGACCTGAGCCCCATTTTACTCTTATCCCTCTCTTCTTTCCTGCAGGCAGGATCAGAGGTAAGCAAAGGATATGCAGCCGTCGTGTTGCATGACTCCTACCTGACCGCCATGACTAGTACTTGACCTTGACTTGAACCCTTAAGGGACAGACCAAAGCCTCCTCCAGAGGGACGGCGGGAGCGCGCCCTTGTGTCTAGCCGCAGACCTTGCGCTCTTCGCCGCTCTTGTAAATAACTGTAAAAGGATATGTGTAAGCGGCTTGAACCTTCCGACCTCTTGTTGCCTCTTTAGCCCTTCTCGACTTTGTACCTTGAACCTTTTATTTGATATGGTATGTTGTTCTTATGTTCCTGTTGGGTATCTTGTACGGTTTGTTTCTCTATTCATTTTCTGTATATTTCTTTAGATTAATTGATTATTATTTAGTGCCATATCTCCGGGCTTTTCCTCTCTTTGGTTAACGTTTCTGGCGTTCTTTCCTGCCTCTTCCCTCCCCTACCCCTCCTCCTCTCTCTCTACCTCTCTCTTTTATTATTATTATCATTATTTTGTCTCCCTTATCCCCACCCTATTCCTTTACACTCCGTCCCTATTCCCCCTTTCCGTGTCTACATGTGTCTCCCCGTGCCTCTCCTAACCTGAATCCTGACCCCCAACCCTACGCTAAGTGTTGATGTATGTATAGTAAGATTTCATTCCTGTGGTGGTGGTGTTTTTTGAGCCTTAATAACAACCTTATTTTTTACCCTCTCCACAGCCTCACACTTCTACTCCAACAGCAGAAAGAGATTTAGAGGTAAATTTTCCAGATAAAAATGGGATATGTAATTATTACTACTAAAAAAAAGAGAGAGAAGTTTAAAAAAAAAGAATACTGTGACATCTCCACTCGCCTCAAAGATTTACCAATTGCCTGATCTGCGACCAACAGTCCAGGCCACTGCACAGACGGCGCCATTTATTCTGACTTGCCTGGATCATAGCTGCACTTAGGACCTATTTTTATTTGGTAAATGAATCCCATGGGACCACACCACAAAGCAACTGGTTGAATTCTTGTGTTTGTAGGTCTGTCTTATGTATCTCTTAATTTTTCCTTTTTAAAAGTCGTTATTATTATTATTATTATTATTGTCTAAGCTTCGTCTGCAATTCCTGCGGACATGCCAGCTCTTTTGTTTCCTAGTCCCAGCGCGTCACATGATTATGTGTGGAAAGAAATTGGTTTGACAAATGCTATTCGCTTATGAGATCAAGGTTACTTTTGAATAGTAATAAAATCCTTAGAAAGAGTGCACAGCAGTTTTATCATAATATTCGATAAATCTTTCATCCTAATTTATCTTTCGTTGACGCCAAAGCTTTGCAAGTGCTGTCCAGTAGTGAATGGCTTGATGACTGTCTTTGTTAACAATATAAATTATCAGTAAAGTAAAAGGGTGATTTATAAATATATAAAACGGTCGCGGAATTATTTCTCTTAATGTTGTGTAATTAAATTCCTATGTCTATGGACGCTGATTACACTTCTAAGTTATTTTCTAATCATTTGCTCATAGCAATAACATTTGTTCACAGTAATGAATAACCCCTTTGGATTATGATACGAACTAACGTCAATCTCAAGTCTAAAAAACAAAACAAAAATAAGATCAAACCAAACACAGCCTAAGGACACTTGTTATTCTACCAATTGTATTCTGTGTGCGAGTGCCCGGTCTAATGATCACAATACCTGCCATGCAC